TTGTGGTCCGTGTACAGATATTTATCGCTCTTCTTCCTTTAATTATGCACCTGTATATATGCTTATTGTATTGTGGAGATTGATGGATACTCTTTTTCAGTTTTTCTCTCTTCTAACTACGCTACCTGAAGACTCTGTCCATTCGAATCAATAAGGATTTTTTTTGCAGCGTTCTCGGAAAAGGGAATCAATAAGGATTTAACTGGTGGCACTACACTGCATCATGTCATCTGCGATGGGCGCAAACCCTCACCTTTGATGGAGGTGGCCCTGGTCAGAGGTTAGTGGTCACTCATGACTCTGAGTCACCTGAGACGGTTAAAGACCCGTAAGAGGTAAGAGTTACCTTTGACGGACTGCAATTAAAATCCATCACAGGTAACCTTCATCTGTGATAGGTAAATATTTTAACTCGTTAGTAGCGATCTTTATTTGTGATGGATCCTAATTGAGAGCCATCACATACCTGAAAAATAGGGCAAAAAAATATATATAATGATGTAAGCCTAGCTAACAGACCTTCATTAGGCATTCACAAATCACAGAAGTACTCAACATTCACAATCACAATCATTTGGGCACAAAACAGAATCACAAAAACCATCACAATCACATTCATCTGGCCAAAGAGCAAAATGACATTAACATTCACAACTACACAAAACAGAATCTCAAAAATCAAATTCACAAGCATAATGGATCAACTCCCATGTCGTTGGACTTCACAGAATTGCTATATATGTCACTGCCGCCGCCCTCATAGTCGCTGTAGCCATAACCATACTCGCTATAGACATCACCGTGGGCACCGACGTTTTAGTCTCCATCGTAGCCTCTGACCTCAAAGAGGCCAGATCTGGCGGCCCTGAGAGGTGGCGGTGATGGATCTGAAGGGGAAGGGGGGTAAAGATCCAGCGATTGGGGCCCAGATCCACTCTCCAGGCAGTCGAGGGCATTCAGATCTGGAGGCCGACGCCCGCGAGCTCCAGAATGGCTCGACCCGACAAAGGTCAGCCCTCGTGGTGGAGAAGCCAACCTCCGGCTTGCTTGGGCCGACGGAGGTGGAGGCGGTGGCAGAGGCGGCAGACAGCCCACGGGCAAAGGCGGAGGCGGAGGTGGCGACTAGACCATGGGCGGAGGCGGTTCCCGACGCGCTAGAGCCAATAGAGGTGGAGGCGATCAGATCCAACCGCAGCGAGGTCAGGGGTGGTCAGATCCAGTGAACCCGACCTTAGGTAGGCCAGACCTGGAGGCGGAGGACGGACGACGTTGGGACCTCAAGAGGCGGCCTCCACTGCCGAGCTCCTACTGGCGTCCACGCGGCCTCCTTTCCTGATCTCCCACCTCCTCCACCTTCGCATCCAACAAGCGTCGACACCGGTGCCGCGCCTCCACCTTTGGTACCCGCAGCCGCTGGTGACGCCTCCACCTCCGGGCCACGCACCCGCATTCGCTGCCTCCACCTCCGGTCCCCACACCAGCTGATGAACTGAGAGGAAGAGAGAAAGGGTTGAGAGGGAGAGAGAGAGGGAGATTGAGAGAGATAAGTTGGAGAAAGAGATTAAAAACGATTTGGCTATCGGTGGCCTGCAGTAGTGACGGCATGGAAAAAAAAGACCCGTTAGAGATGCCTTTTCGTCTTTAACGGGCTATGCTGTTGCACCCGTCACATGTAAGGGATCACCTTTGACGGGTCTCTATGTGGGTCCGTCAAAGGTGTGGTCTGTCGGGTTCATATATAGGCCCGTCACAGATAACTATTTACTCATGAAGGACCGCCGTCTCATATCCTCATATTGAACGGACTCCAGTTAAACTTATCACAGATGAGGTCATCGATCTGTGACGAAGCACTTTGGCCCGTCACTGATAGGCCGTTGCAGATGGGCAGATCTGGTGTATTGTGGAAACCAACAGCAAAACAAATTATATTATTGCATAAACAGCACTAGATAAAAAAAATGTCTGTATCATTTCCCCTTCATATTGGCTGCCAAAAACTGGAAGAGCCAAACACTAGGCAACACATCCAGCTACAGTAAATCAATAAGGACAAGCAACACCACACAGCGCGCAAAATGAGAGATATATCGTTTGATTGAACGTATGGGGACGAAGACCAAAATTCTTGCTTTGCGCGATTCGCGCGGGTTCCATGCAATATTATTGCGTATATATAGATGGCCCACCTGCATACAGACATGCATACTATACAGTGCATGCATAGCTAAGCTAGCTAGGATGCATCTATCTCTGCAACTCTCTCTGCTGACTTCTCTGATGAGCTCTCTCGGATCGACATGCATGCATGCATGCCGCGGCTGACTGAGCCACACCACACCACTTGCTTGCTTTGGTCGATTGCATGCCTTGTTTTACTTGCATTCGAATTTGCACTCACTTTGAAGCAGCAACACATGTTACATTATTTTTTTTTCTTCACTATTTTCAGTTTGGAGCATGCTAGAACGTACGGGTGATTTTTTTTCCTGCTCTTGATGAGATATTGGTAGGTAGTACAAATTTTCGTATTAATTTGTGATACTTTCTGGTATCTCATGAATATATAAGATATCATAAGATATTAAGTTTTACATGAAAAGTATTACCCCCATTTGAAAATCCAAAAAAAAAGTTTGTATGTTCTTTAAAATGTACCATGATATCCCTGTATCCGGGTAGTACATTTTAGAAAATACACAAAAACAATTATACTACTATTTTAGAATGGAGGTGATAGTCTATAGATCGATGCATTAGATTTTTTTTTCAATATTTAGCCTCCACACTCTCCAAAACTGCTGTGTTGGTTGGATGATGCATGGATCCAGTGGTGAGGTCAAGGTAGGGCTCATGCATGGATACAGCAGGAGTACTACATGCACGCACTCCTCTCTTTTCCCCCTCAAAATACCACTCACATATGCTCCCTCCACCCCATAAAAAAATCAACCTAATATTAGATGTGATATATCATAATATTATGAATTTGAACCGACCTCTCTTCAGATTCTTATCACATCCAGTATTAGGTTGATGTTTTATGGAACTAGATGAGTAAGGTCGTGTTTAGTTGTTTTGGCAAAAAAAAAATGACGTATACGGATGCATATTTGAAGCATTAAACGTAGATTAATAACAAAACAAATTACAGATTCCACATGTAAACTGCGAGACGAATCTATTAAGCCTAATTAATCCGTTATTAGCAAATGTTTACTGTAGCACCACATTGTCAAATCATGGCGTAATTAGGCTCAAAAGATTCGTCTCGCAATTTACATGCAAACTGTACAATTGTTTTTTCGTCCACATTTAATGCTCCATGTATGTGTCCAAATATTTGATGTGACGAAAAAACTAGAAGTTTCAAGGGAACTAAACACAGCCTAAGTGCAAAATGGATGAAGCTGACATACATGATTGGACAAATTATTCAGGCAGAGCGGCACATGATCAATAGTAACCCAACAAGCAAAATAGTAATCGCATGGAGCGTGACATATCAGTAGTAGTAGCATGGATAGAACAAGCGGCAGGCTAGCACACGAGTCTGAGATGAAGACTGAAACGCTCAGGCCAGAGCTCGAGCTGAGAAGAAAGAATCTCTGATCGATGAAGACTGCACTCGTCCCAATGCAACAAGAAGAAGAAGAAGAAGAAGAGAAAAAAGAAAGAAAAAATGAAAACGGGGCATGAATCTACGCACCGGGAATATGAGAAATGAATGAATGAATGAATGATGAGGCACTCCATTACGCTATGATTGGGGGGCGCCCCCATGAGAAACAACAAGCGACCGAGTAGCTGGCACACTGCCAATGCTGCTGCCAGCAGCATACAGTAGCGTCGCTAGCTTGCCAAAGCCACGCGCTGTGCAGCAGCATCAGCAGCAGCAGCAGCAGAGACGACGACGCAGGCGCACGCAGAGATGCAACAGTGGATGTGGCTGGGCGCGCGCGAGAAGAAAGAGATCAGGTCTTATCATGTCACACACTAACGCCCGGTGCAGACGGAGAGAGAGAGAGTGCAGTGCAGAGGCCGGCAGAGAGAAGCTATACTACAGTGATATATATGTTCTTTTTTTTAACGAAGCTAAAAATAAAGAAATTATTAGTGTATGATTAATTAAGTTTCAATTATTATAAATTTTTTAAAATAAATATATTTGATATTTTACATTAATTTATATATATATAAGTTGCATGAAACGTAAAAAACGTGATACTACCTGAGTACAGGGTGGGGTGCTGTTGCTGCGTGCCTGCGTGTACGTCGTTTGGTGGATCTGGTGGTGGCCGGCCTCGATTGCAGCAAAACGAGAGCGGCAGCGTTGGCGTTGGCGCCCAATGCATGGCTCGTACGGTGGCCGCGATCCATCCGTCGTCGTTGTCTTCGCGTCGGTCCTGACCGCGACCCGACATGCTCGCCCGCTCGGCATTCATGGCCCCTCTCTCCTATACCCCACCCACACTGGTGATCAGTGGTCACTGACCCCAGGTCGATCTCTCTCGTCTTCGTTTTAAACTTTTTCTTACTACACGTGAAGTAGTGAATTATGCTGATCTTTTGTGAGAAAATGCTGTAAAAACAAAAAGGGAATAATTCTTGGGCGGTTGAGGCGATCTGCCGAAAGCCGTAGCACAGGACGTGCAATAATTATATACTTTCAGTCTTTCACCAGTAAAAAGCGTCGTTGCTCCACACCCCTTTGGTAAAAGAGCGGTTGCCCATTTCCGGTGCAGTACGGAACCAAAGGGGGCTCACACACAGCGCACGAAGAAGAAAGAAAGGGGCAAACGGAAAAAAAAAAAGAAGAAGAAAAAGAAAAGGAGAAATCCCAACCAGCGGATGAACGTGACGCGACCTCCAACCACAAGCCTCTCGCCTAATTGCGCCTGATTGGGCCACTAACGGGCCCACAGGACACAGCCCACCACGAGGTTTGTTGGGCCGGTTTTGATGGGCCTGATGGGCCTTCGGGAGGAGGCGGTTTTTTTCCGATCACCCAACTTCGTCGAGGAGGGAAAGGGTCGAGAGAGAGGTCAGTAGTAGCGTAGTGAGCGGCGGCGGCGGCGGAGATGGGGAAGGGCGGCGAGCTGTGGGACGATTCGGCGCTGGTAGACGCGTTCGACCACGCCGTCGCCACCTTCAAGGTAACGCGCGCTCGTCTCTGACCTCCATGGCTTCGATCCCTGTCCCGCTCCAACCTGATTGCGACCTGTTTGCGCCAGTTGCGTGCGTAGCTAGGGTTTAGGGTTTTGGTGGGGAGTTTCGCGTTGCGAGTTGGGGGCCGCATGAGGCTGCTATATTTGGTGCGTGGCGTGGGTGGGTGGGTGGGTGCGGCTTTGATTTTGATTCGGTTTGGGAGTGTTGTTGTGGTGACTCGAATTTTGATGCCTGGTAGCAGAAATCCTTGGAACGTAGTATACATGTTTGGAATAGATAGGGTTTTTGTGTATTGTTCATTGCTGGTATCATGAACCATTACTAAGATGTCACCATGGTTATGGGAGAATGCTGGGATTTTTGCTTCCCCATTTGCACAGTTAGCTGGAAATTTGGTTCGCATTTGGTTAACTAATCCTGATGGTTGGCACTTGTCAGGCTATGCATAGCAAAAACACCCAAGCAACTACATCGGAGAATGAGGAACCAGGAGATCCTGCTGTTGCTGCCCCTGCTGGAGAAGAGAACATTTCGGCTGAGGTGGCCGATGAGTAAGTATTGAGTATACTGGTTTCTTGGCAATATCAGTTTGAAGCAATAGATTGTTCTTCTGTTGCGCTAGCAATAGTTGTCGTGTGAAGAAAAGAGTAATGTAGTTGTGAGTTGTATTGGTACTTAGGGAGTGGCTTTATTCAATTACTTCTGTTATAGCTCCACTTTTTATATTGAAGTTTAAGACTTGAATGAGCTCTATACATGTGGTTTGAAAGGTACTCCCCCATCCCATAATATAAGGGATTATGCCTTTTTTTTTGGCAAAAATTAAGTAGGAAAAGGGCATGTCATGGTAGTTATTATGATAACTTCACCTGTTTCCTGGAGGATTGTGCCGCTAGCTTCCTAGATATATTCCTAGCCAGTTCCTGGTAACATTTTTACCCAGGTTCATCCCTGATTAAATCTTTACCACGTACTATACGTTCAACAACTGACTTAATTTAATGATGATAACAGGAGGCACTTGTAACTTTAATTTTCTAGTTTTATTTCTTTAAAACATAGAGAGCTGCAACCGTGCAATGGCTTATCCATGCGCCCCATTTCCCCCTGATCTTGCCGTGCACTTTAATTCACATTTTTCATTTATTTGCACAATTTAAGTTCTTGCATTATTGTCTTGGGGCTTCATTCTTCCAAGAAATAAAGAGTTATTAAGTATCGCTTTGTTTATGCATTTTTAAGGCTCATAGAGAAGGATGGTAGCCAGACAGAACCTTGTGAAGCATCGGAGACACCATATCAGACCCATGAGGAAAGAAAGTCCACTGAGCAGGCTCCTCTTCAGGAAAAGGATCTGGATAAAGAGGCACATTTTTCAGAACCTAAGATCCATGCCTCAGATGTTGCTGATGCTGAGCAAAAAGATACCTCAAACCAGCAGACCTGGGACTACAATGAATTGGTAAAAAAGTACTATGAACTTGAGGAGCAAAGCCGGAAAGTTCTTGAGCAACTCCATCAAACAAACTACTGGAATTACCAAGTCCCTGGTCAATCTTCAGTGTACCAACAACCGCAAGTTCCTGCCTATAGTGCCACAGCACCAGATCCGCATTCCTCAACCATTCAATCCCCATGCTGTTGTGCGAATGTACCCCTGGTATCAGTCTCCTGCTGTTCAACTGGCCAGACGAGTGGGGTTTCTTCTTGTATGCAACCAAGTGGTGGTTGTAGCATATCATTGACTTGTAAGTGTCCTGTTGGTTAAGCTACCGTTCTTGTTTTATTCATCTGTTACAGAACTTTTCAATCATGCTCCGTTAACTGCTTATGGAGTACATGATGTAACTCACTTTCAGGTGATCAATGCCCTGGCACAAGTGCGACAGATTCTACTGGAGCAACCTGTGTGCAGCAGGCAGAAAAGGTGTCTACTGACAGTGATCAAGTTGCTAAGGCTGCAATGATGACTGCTGAAGGTGCCATGAATTTCATGAGAAGTACGATATCTGGAGACTTGGGCTCCTTTCCAAGTAAGCATTTTCTTGTTTGGTGTGATCAAAATTCATCTACTATGTTTCTGTGCACATCTTAAATTTTTATTGCAAGAGTAGTGCAATAGCTTGTTTTGTACCTTTTTTCCTAATCCTTGTATCAGGTTATCATGATTTGATGAGCTTCCTTTCTAGTTTTGAACTGTGGTTAGGATTAGTAGGATATGTTGTGCTTGTTTTTTCTACAATCCTTCATTTGTATATTTGTATGTAGGAACAGACGCTGCATCTGGAAAGGAGAGCATGCCTATGGGCATGAATCCAAATTTTGACACCATGGGAGCAGATAGTGATCTTGCTGTTGTCTTAAATGCATGGTACGCAGCGGGGTTTTACACTGGCAGGTAATTCTCGAACTTTGACCTTGGATTGCAAAGTTGCTTTTCCCACATCTCCGTCCATATTTACCATCCAAATCTTTGTTAACACATATTCTCTTTTTATAGTTGAGAAAAAACATGTGGATCGCTTTGATGTCACTCTGATTGTTTGGCAACTATTTTCATATTTTGGATAACAAGAGCTCATGAAGAGTCATCTTTTCTTTTCCTTGGGCAGTACCTCCTAACAAGATTGATCTGTTTAGATAGGTCCATGATGGCCTTTTTATTGATTTTGACAACATAGATATAATATATGGATTACCTTCTTATGTGCACCTATTCTGTCATTTCTGTGCTAAGTCGTGCTATCTTGCTATAGAATTTTGCATTCATCTGAATTCTCTGATTATTATTGACAGGTACCTCATGCAGCAGTCCATGAAAAATACCAGACAAGGCTGACTTCTATTAAAAAGCCATTTGGAGTATCGCCAAAGATGTCCTTTCCACTCCAGAAAAATCAAGAGATCTATTGACAACTCGTGGAACTGAACATTCCATTAGCATATGTAATGCTATCAGTGCTTTTCTAGCAAGAGTTATGGTACAATTATACATGAATTTGCTGTAAGGCTCTGATTAGACATTAAGGAGAAACGATGGTACTGATCATTTTGCTATCCAAATCTATCAGATGATCTGTAGAAACAAGCGATCCCTGTGTGATGGTTTTGCTATTTGCCGCCCAAATCTGCGTTGAAAATGAAATGTACAGTTTTTAGACTACTTTCTCCAGGGAGGCACTTGTGCATGTCGATGTCTTACATCTGCCTCTCTTCTGGGCAGCTTCCAATCTTTACAGGTGGGTCGTGGCCTCGTGGGTGCAGGTTTAAGCGGTGTGCTAAAACTTTTGTGCTTATGTTTTTGTCTACTTATGGCGTCTTTTAGCACATAGTTGCTGTGATATTATGCTTGCAGACCTGCCTCTGCCTGGCCACGAATTGTTATGTGGCGGTGGAGGTTGGCCGGTCACCGCGCTGCACCTTTCAAGTGTGATCTGTCCATCACTTCAGCATACACGTTGACCCAGCTGCTGCATCAAGCCGAATTCCATTCGATTGTCCAATAGTACTCCTTTGCAATAAGCTCGGCTTGTGTCATTTTAACGGTCAATCACGCTCACAATATGCCGTTCATGTCATTGTCATCATCACAGAGTGTGCCGTCTGCCTAATGTATCCGTACATAAAAATAACATATCCATGCATACTTGCCGTTGTTAATTTAGTACTAATGTACACGGAGAAAACTATGTTAAGACACCAGATAAAAAAAATTATAATAACGTGTTAAAAGAGGGATTAGGAACGCGAACAACACAGAGAGAGGAAAGGGAAGTCTTTGAAAGTCTGAGAAGGAAGCAACAACTGACCAACACAGTAGGTGGCACCAAAGAAAACCGCAACTCCAAGGCACCGTCGACACGAACTTCACAAGAACTCCACCGAGAGGAGAGGAGAGGAGAGGAAACGACGACACCTCCTCCGGCGCGGCGAGACGAATCTACGCGTACCGAGTACCGACGCGGCGACCGCCTCGCTCCGTCCCTATCCTCGCCGCTCCGGCTGATTCCGTCGCGGAGGTATATCCACCATCTCTCGCCCCTCGCCTGCGCGTCTCAACCCTCTCTCACATCCCGCGCTCCCTCCTCCGTTTCCGATCTGCAGCGCGCGCGGCCGGCGAGGAGTCCTGGGAGGGCGACCGACGCAGTCGGCCTCCTTCCATCTCGGTTCGAATCGAATCGAATTGAAGGTATTCCTGATTGTTAGTATCTTTTGTAACCCTCACTCCCCCGCGCCGCTTGATGAGGAGTTGTGGCGTAGATTGGAAATCCATCCGAAGTTGGATTGGTTTTTTTTTTCTCCAATTAACCCCATCTAGTTTTTCGTCAGATTTTTTTTTTGACGCGTGGTGTAGTACTAATAAATTATAGTAGCGGTGTTTTCATAGGGAAAGAAAAAATTGGGGGTTCAACCATGCCCCACGTTAGTTCTGCCCTTGGCGCTTACTGTTCAATTTTGACCTTCAGAGGGTAGCTTTTGTACTTTTTACGTCGACTTGTGTCGTAATCTAAGACTAACTTCTCAATTGTTTTTTTTTTTTGTGATGATTTTGTTAGCCTGCCAGTGAAAATGAGTGACAATCTGATGGACAAGGTTAGCGCCTTTGGCGAGCGTCTGAAGATCACTGGGTCAGAGGTTAGCAAGAAGATGACGGCTGGCATGTCCTCCATGAGCTTCAAGATGAAGGAGATCTTCCAGGGGCAGACTCCCGCGGACAAGATTGTGGAGGAGGCCACCTCAGAGAATTTGGACGGGCCTGATTGGTCGGCAAACCTGGAAATCTGTGACTTGATCAACACGGAGAAAGTTAACAGTGTCGAGCTGATCCGTGGGATCAAGAAGCGGATCATGCTGAAGGATGCTAGGGTCCAGTACCTCTCCTTGGTTCTTCTTGAGACCATTGTGAAGAACTGTGAGAAGGCCTTCTCGGAGGTTGCTGCTGAGAGGGTTCTTGATGAGATGGTCAGGTTGATTGATGATCCTCAGACAGTGGTAAATAACAGGAACAAAGCCCTTATGCTTATTGAGGCATGGGGAGAGTCTGGTGATGAGCTTCGGTACTTGCCTGTCTATGAGGAAACCTACAAGGTATATGAATACAATAGACCCTTTCTTTGGCTCCGGCCTGTTAACTAAGTCAGCAATATAGTTTATTGTATTATGCTCCAGTTTCACTATTCTAACTTGCAGCAGTGAGTTTCATTTCCAGTCTGTGCCTGTTCAATAAAATATTGTTCAAAATTATATATGCTGATCCATGATGTGAGCTAGTCATTGGACCAAGCAATTAAAATTTCGCAACAAATTTCTCAAGAAAGGCTGCTTTAGCAGTTAGCACAATACATTGATCTAACTATTGATATTTCTCTTTTTGCTTCACAACTACTCCCTCCATCTCTAAATGTTTGACGCCGTTGACTTTTTTAAACATGTTTGACCATTCATCTTATTTAAAATATTTAAGTAATTATTAATTCTTTTTCTATCATTTGATTCGTTGTTAAATATACTTTTATGTATACATATAGTTTTACATATTTCACAAAAGTTTTTGAATAAGACGAATAGTCAAACATATTTAAAAAAGTCATCGGCGTCAAACATTTAGGGAAGGAGGGAGTAATAATTATGGGTTGGTGATAATAATTTGTACTTGTCAAACTTTGGTGCTTGCGAGTCAGTGATAATTTGTGATGTTCATAATTGTTTTACCATAAGCCCTTAGTTTGATAATTTCGTGCTTTTAAGTAAACACTGAACAGAGCTTGGTCAGCAGTTCCTTAAAATAATGTGTTGAATATTTAATAATAATTTAATGGTCATTTGAGTGTCCAGTTTGACAGTTGTGTTAAATAACTAATACAGTAGATGTGGTGCTCTCCTATTTTTGTAGAGCCTGAAATCAAGAGGAGTGCGGTTCCCTGGGCGTGACAATGAGAGCTTGGCCCCCATATTTACTCCTGCGCGTTCAGTAGCTGAAGCTGAAGTTGATGCAAACTTTTCCCAGCAGACCTTCGAAGATGTGCAAGTGCATACATATACTGCTGAAGAAACGAAGGAAGCTTTTGATGTGGCTCGTAACAGCATAGAACTTCTTTCAACTGTTCTTTCATCCTCTCCTCAGCAGGATGCTTTGCAGGTAACTGGATTTTATGTAACCTTTTGCCAAAATCAAATACTAGGATTCTGTATAACTTATCATTCTATTTGGATGGAGGAAATTTTGATTACGTTGCACACAGATATTATTGTTTAGATGGTCTGCATATTATGGCTGCATGAAATCTGTTTTCTCATGGAAGTTTTGCAATTGAAAATACCTATGTATTTATCTATGGGAAATTATATATATCTCATTCTTAAAACATCAATTTTGCTGCACCCTAGAAATTTACTGGTCATTTTATATTATTTATGCTTCTGTTGTTTTGGCTGAGACTATACGGTTCAATTATATAGTTCAGTTCTGCAACAGATGGCTTTTTTTAATCTAAGGTATAATGTATGGGGTCTTTAACACCTTAAGAAAACTGATTTGCTTGTTTGCTTAGTATCATTTAGCTGTACATATCAAGACAACAAAAAGAAAATGTTCAAAAGATAGCCTGTATTGCTTTATTAAGCATGATATGCTATTTCTGATAATGATGACATTTGTTGCACGACGACATGTTATCAGAGCAAACAATACATTCAGAAAGTTTGTACCTTTTATGTTGCTCAACAACTTGTATTACATGTTGTTTAAAAGTTTCAAATATATATACTTGAAAAAAATTTAGGCTGACCGAAAGTTAATGGTGGACTTGTTTAATTTTATTACTGGTTGATACTCTTTCTCGCACCCAGGCATAGGACACCAACCGATAATGCAGGGAAGTGAATTACAGAGTATTTGCATCCAAAATGTACTCTTTAATGCTACCTCTCATTATGTGTTGACTTGCTCTGTTATTATCACAGGATGACTTGACATCCACTCTTGTGCAACAATGCTACCAATCTCAGCACACTATCCAGAGAATGATTGAGACTGCTGGAGACAATGAGGCCATGCTTTTTGAGGCCTTGAGTGTGAATGATGAGATCCAAAAGGTGCTGTCCAAATATGAACAGATGAAGAAACCCGCAGCGTCTGAGAACGCAGAACAACGGCCGGTAGTCATACCAATTGCCACAGAACATGAAGATTCTGCTACGGTCGGCAATGAAGATGCCCTGGTCAGAAAACCAGCTGGTTCTCGAGCAAGGTCAGGTGGAGATGATGATATCCTTGATGATCTCGATGAGATGATATTTGGCAAGAAGGGAGGAAGCAGTTCCCAAGAAGGGCCCAAAAAGCAGGATCCGAAGAAAGATGACCTAATCAGCTTTTAAATACCGTTCTGGCCAGTTCCTCGTGGAATCAGAAGATGTTTGCTGTTTCATAGTGCCGAACGATATCTGTATTCATCCCCGTAGAAGATTTCACATTCGCCAGGATTTGGATCGCTTGTTTATTTGCATACGATCTATCATACTTGTCTGTCACAGTTTGTTCGGTTGATTTAAGTTGCTTCACCCTTCACATCCTCTGGTTGCATGATTGCATCTGCATTGGATGGCTAATTATCTCTTGATGGAAAAACACGTCCAGTATAATGAATGAGCCTCAGCTCCTATTCATTGCTCTTTGCTTTTATGGTTCTACCTTTACAAGTTTCCTATTCATTGATCTGTAGTTCTGGCTGCAGGATTCATATTATCGTTTTTCTATTTTACTGAAGGGCCGTGAGAGACAGAGAGAGCCGGTAACCGATTTGGGGTTTCTCGTCCAAAGATTTTACGATTTCAAAATATTAATTTTGGTGAAAGCCTGTTCACTTGTTTGTGAAAATTCTACCAATAATGGGAGAGATTCATCCCAATGCCTTTTCAGGGTGGTAACTGGTAGCCGTTACCTTTATCACTCAAAAGTCTCATCGGCCTTTCCGCTACTTTGGAGTAGTTTTTTTAGAACAAAAAATAGAGGTTGTTGACAAATGATGAACCAATACTGATATATGTAAATCATGAATCCAATACACGGTAGTCGTATTCCCCAACTGGCAACAACACGTACAAATGCTACATTGTACACGTTTGTTTTGATCATATACTAAAAAGTTGCCAAGTTTGCCGCAGTTTCTTTCGCAAATGTGCGCCTGGCATCAAATTCAGCAGTATACTGGCTAGCAAAAAGAATAAACTTTTTTTTCTCAGAAAATAAATCTCGTCACAAATACGACCACAAATCAACCAGAACTTCACTGCATTTTCAGAGTAATACATAGTAGAACGCATGTATAGCCTAGCCATCATTATCCATCATTGACATGGTCAGCACGCCGCGAGCTTGGCTCTGAGCTCTCTCCTCAGTATCTTCCCAGACGCCGACTTGGGGATCGCATGGATGAAGTGCACCTTGTGTAGCCTCTTGTAGAACACCACCTGCAGAGAAACGCGAAACGACAAGCTCTCGTACGTGAGGTCTCCAGCAATTTTGCTGCTGTTGCGTCGTCAATCTCATCCCAATCAATACCTGCTTGGATATGAATTCCTTGATGGACTCCTCCGTGATGTCGGAGTCGGCGGCGCGGACCACGAACGCGACCGGGACCTCGCCGGCGACGTCATCCTTTTGCCTGACATTTTAACATGCAGTTATTTTTTTTACCTCGGCGAGTAAATTCTGGTGGTGTGTGTTACGCTGTTGATGGTGAAATAATGGAGGTCTTACGGGACGACGGCGGCGTCAGCGATGGACGGGTGAGCGATGAGCAGCGACTCCAGCTCGGCCGGCGGCACCTGCATGAATAGACAATAGTTACAGTGCGAATTATCAGAAAACTGATGCTAAGTGTCCTGCTGTTAATTACCTGGAACCCCTTGAATTTGATGAGCTCCTTGACACGGTCGACGATGAAGACCTCGTCGTCGTCGTCGACGTAGCCGATGTCGCCGGTGTGCAGCCACCCCTCGACGTCGATCGTCGCGGCGGTCGCCTCGGGATCGTTCAGGTAACCTGCACGTGTTATTAATTATTACCGAGACACCTCTTGTCATCACATGCTTGCCGGCGAGCTATTAACACTTTACTGGGGGTGGTCCAGTAGATACATAGTCTGTCGGTTCGTTTTACTGTAGGTAGATACTCTCTCCGTTTCATCAGATTAATGTTTTGATTTTAGTTTAAGTTTGACTAAGTTTATTAAAAAAATTAGTAATATTTTTAATCTAAAATAAATTTATTATAAAATATATTTAATTATTGATTTGATGAAACTAATTTAGTATTATAAATATTATTATATTTATATATAAACTTGGTCAAAATAGTTAAAACGTCTTTCGACCTCAAGCGGAGGAAGTGCTAACCTTTCATGATCTGTGGGCCGCGGATGCAGATCTCGCCGGGGAGGTTGCGGCCGAGGGAGAAGCCCGTGTCCGGGTCGACCACCTTGAGCTCCGCGTTCCGCACCACCGTCCCGCACGACCCGGACTTCGCCGGCGTCGGCTCCTTGGCGAACGCCGGGCACATCGACAGCACCGGCCCCGCCTCCGTCATCCCGTATCCCTGCATCACATCGCATCGCATCAGCCCGCGTCACGTCTTGACTCCCCCGTGAGAAGGTCGCGAGATTATGGTGATTTCTTCCGCCCTGATCGCGACGCGCGCGCGGCACGCGCGGCCATGTCATGGTACTACTACGAGAGTTAGGTGCAGCGAACGGCTCGGATGTTGTCTCCGTACTATTACGACGTTTTGCCACGTGATGGAGAAACTAATGGTAATAACTTATTGTCCCTTCCCAAAATATGCTCTCTGTGTTTTCGCTTTGATTTTTTTCCAGTTAAATTTAAATTTAATTAAGTTTGTAGATAAATTTAACAACATCTAAAACATCAAATTAATTTCATTAAATGTAATATTGAATATATTTTGATAATATGTTTGTTTTGTGTTAGAAATTTTTCTATAAAAGGTTTAACAAGGAAAAAAAACAAAAACAACTTATAATACGATGAAACAGAGTCAATCTAGATTTGGATGTAACATATTACGTCATTCGATTTTATGTTGTACTCCCTCCATCCATTTAAGCGCAGCTATAAGTTTCCGTATTAAATTTTGATTGTTTGTATTATTTAAATTTTTTTAAGAAAAAAATAAAAACATAAGTTATACATAAAGTATTTTTTATGTTCTATCATCTAATAACAATAAAAAATTAATCATAAAAAATATCAAATAAAACGGAGGATCAAAATTGGATACGGAAACTTTGACTTAGAATGGTAAGAAGGGAGTAATATTTTGAGACCGATCGATACCGACCTGTCCGAAGATGGCCTGAGGCAGGCGGGCGCGGAGGGCGTCCTCGAGCTCCTTGCCGAGCGGGGCGGCGCCGGAGAGCACGATGCGGATGGAGCTGAGGTCGTGGCGCTCCACGAACGGGTTCTTGGCGAGCGCGAGCACGAGCGGCGGCACGACGGCCGCCACCGTCACGCGCCACCGCTCGATGGCCCCCAGCATGGCGCCCATCTCGAACCTGGGCATCAGCGCCACCGCCGCGCCGGCGCGCACCGCGCACAGCAGCACGGAGTTGAGCGAGAAGATGTGGAACAGCGGCAGCACGCACAGCGCCACGTCGCCGGCACCCATGTGCAGGTTCGGGTTCTCGCCGTCCACCTGCTGCGCCACGCCCGACACGACGCTCCTGTGCGTCAGCACCACGCCCTTGGGCAAGCCCGTCGTGCCCGACGAGAACGGCAGCGCCACGGGGTCGTCCGGCGAGATGGCCACCTCCGGGACGGACCCCTCGTCGGCGTCCGCGATCAGGTCCCAGAACGGCAGGCAGCCTTCCGGCGTCGCCTCGTCGTCGTCGATGGTGATCACGGTGAGCGTGTCGTCGCCGACGGTGCAGGCGTCGATCCTTGGGAACGCCTCGTGCTGCCGGAGCTTGTCGACGTAGACGGACTGGGTGAGGATGAGCTTCACGCCGGAGGCCTTGAACTGCTTGTGGATCTCCTGCGGCGTGCAGAACGGGTTGGCGGCGGTGGTGACCGCGCCGAGGAACGACGCGGCGAAGAACGCCACGGCGAACTCCACGCAGTTCTGGAGCAGCACCATGACGCGGTCGCCGTGGCCGACGCCCAGCCGGTGCAGCGCCGCGGCGGCCCTGCGGCACAGCAGGCGCGTCTCGGCGAACGTGTACGTCCTCCCCGTGGCCGCCGCGATGAGGCACGGCGCGTCGGGGAGCTCGGCCGCCCTGGCGAAGCAGTACTCGTGCAGGGGCAGGTGGCTGGGGATGTCGATGTCCGGAAGCTTGGACCGGAACACCGTCACCGCCTCCGGCGGCGCCTCATCGACCGCCGCCGCCACCTGCGGCTGCGCCTCCGGTGCCGCCACCGTGATCATGGCCGGAACAAAGCTAACCTAGCTTCCTCCGGTGCATGCACACTCTCGGATTAATGCCGACTTGCTAGCGAACCAACAGTGCACTGGTACTGCTTGCTCCGGCGAGGCACGAAGAGTGGGAGGAGGTGGTGGGAATAAATACAGCATTAGCTAGCAGCAGGAGGAGCGAGATGAGGGAGAGAGAGGGGGTTAGGTAGGGGAGCAACGCAGCAGCAGGAGGAGGAAGACGAGACGAGAGGCGCACACGCGGTCACGTACGTAACACTCGCTAGCTCTTGCAGCCCCTAGCTACCTAAAAAAAAAAATGTGCCCACGTATTAATCCAAGATCGCTACCATGCCGTTATTGCACGGATTGTTCTGCATTAGTTTCTCCCCCTGTTTGAGGACTGAAAGAAAATCAAGTTCTCCTTTTGGCGTTAATTCTTCTCAATTTGCCAAAAATCAAGTAGAGTATAATAACATCTACTTTTGGCGTTAACATCAAATTCTAGTTTTTTTATATATAATTTACACTGGCAAAATATTACACAATTTTGGCGTTAATTCTTCTCTTTTTGGGAATATTAGGTGTCGATGAATGCTGATTTGTTAAAGGAATGGAATTCTAATCAGGGATGTCCCCTCGTGATCGTTCTCTTGAATATTATGCAAATGGTTATAATGAAAATATGAGAAAAAAAGAAAATGTATATTATAATGACATAAATCACTCCACCCACCACAAATCATGTTCAAAATCGATCTACACATTAAAAAAATTCGAGCATAAATAGTATCAATATTTTATGAAAAATTGATTTTTCTTTTTTAATTTTGGATATATGAGTTGAATTTATAGTTGAGAATTTGTAAAATGATATATGTACGTTTTTGCATGAGTGTTGTCATTTTTTTTTACTTTCTTTCATGATTATTTGGATTGTATTTGAGCAAGGAAACATGCATCTTCCGGGAGATTATACAACTTGATAGTACTTGTTAACCACAAATAATTACTAAATCATGAAAAATCTCTTTCAAATATCAATAACAATAGTTGCACTAGTTACTCGAAATGCATATTTACCATCATTTATATAACTCATCAGTCTTGTTTTCATTGCACAACAGTATAATACTATAATTGATCTAACATTGTGGATCATACACAACAAAGGAATTAATCTTACACTTGCATGAAACACAAGGAAAATGTCCATATTTACATCAATCACAGAGAGATGCCATGCCACTATGCCAGCCCAGCCGTCTCACCAGTAGTTTCTGCAGCTGCATGCGCCGCGCTTGAAGCGGTGGAACCGGTTCCGGTCCCTGACGACGATCTCCCTCCCGAAGATCTCCGAGATGAGCGCGCTGTACGCGTGGCACTCCTTGCTCATCCGGAGGTTGGTGACGACCCTCACCGGCGCCCCCTCCGGCGTGCTGAGCAGGCCGAACGCCATGGCCAGCTTCTGGCTGTGCGCCGCGACCACGCGCCGCTTCTCCTCCTCGCCTGCGTCCAGCGCCAGCTCCGACGTGTCGGGCGTGTACCCCTCGAACCGGAGCTGCCACTCCATCTGGTGCAGCATCTCGTAGATGTCGTCCGCCCGCGGGTGCGACCTGTCCTGCGACACGAACCGGTGCGTCGCGCCGTGCACCTCGACGGCGCTGTACCCGGGGGCCTGCGCGAGGCCCCTGTCCACCGCCTCCGTCCGGCGCGCCGCGGCGGCGTCCCGGTTGTGGGCCCTGGCGTGCATGTCGGAGAGGATTATGTAGTCGCCGGCGTTGGTGGCGCCGAGGCGCTCCAGCTCCTGCAGCGCGCGCTCGGCGAGCTCCAGGTTGCCGTGGATGCGGCACGCGTTGAGCAGGCTCCGCCACGCCGTGTCCGTCGGCCCCGTGGGCATGCTCCCGATGAGCGCGCGCGCGTCGTCCAGCCTCCCCGCTCGCGCCATGAGGTCCACCATGCAGCCGTAGTGCTGCGCGTTGGGTGTCAGCTTGTGCTCCAGCCGCATCCGGTCGAAGCAGCGGAGCCCTTCCTCGAGGAGGCCGGCGCGGCTGCAGGCGTTCAGCACGCCGACGTACACGGCGGCGTCGGGCCTGTGGCCCTCCCTGACCATCGCGTCGAACACCTCCAGCGCCTTACGCCCGTCGCCGTGCAATGCCAAGCCGGACACCATGGCGCTGTACGTCCACGCGTTCTTGTCGTCCATCGCGTCGAACACCGCCGCCGCGTTCTCGATGCAGCCGCACTTGGCGTACATGTCCACCAGGGACGTGCTCATGAACGTGTTCAGCCTCGCGGTGTTCCTCAGCAGAGCGCAATGGATGCTCCGGCCGACGTCGTGGGCGCCCAGGTGCGCGCACGCCGAGAGCGCGCTGACCATGGAGCTCTCGTCGGGCCTCCATCCCGCGCGCACCATGGCGCCGAACGACTCGACGCACTCCGCCCAGCGTCCGGCCCTCGTGTACGCCGCGAGCAGCGCGCTCCAGGAAGCCGTCGTCTGCTCATCGTCCTCCATCTGCTCGAACGCGCGGCGAGCCAGGTCAGCCTCGCCGCACTTGCCGTAGAAGCTGATGAGGCTGTTCTGCGAGTGCTCGTCACGCTGAAACCCGAGCTTCACGAGGTGTCCCTGCAACTGCAATCGCAAAAAAAAGGAGAAAAAAATTGAAGCCCCAATTCACCGGATTTCAGATCACTCGCACGGTGCTCAGGTCAGTGTGAGCTGAAACTGTCACCTGTCTCCCTTCTTGCAAGGCGCCGAGCTGGGCGCACGCCTTGAAGACGAACGGGAACGTGTAGCTGTCGGGCTCGACGCCGTCATCCACCATGTCCACGAACAGCCGCAGCGCGGCCGCGGGGTCGCGGCCGCCGCCGCCGGCGGCGGCGACGTAGCCGCGCATCAGGGTGTTGTAGTCGAACGCCTCGGGGTCGTCGAGCGCCGCGAAGATGGAGGCCGCGTAGGCCATGCTCCCGGGCCAGTCGGCGGCGAGCGCGCACGCCGCGAGGAGCGGCCGCGCGTGCCGCGGCGAGCGGTCGAGGCCGAGCTTGACGTGCCGCGCGTGCGCCTTCCTCGCCTCGTCCAGGTTCGCGCATGGCGCCCGGTGATCCCTCCCCCTGAAGGCCGCCTGCTCCGCCGCCTGCGCCTGCGCCGGCGACGTCGCGGCGATCCCGACCTGGTGCTGCGCCTGGGAGAGCACTAAACCCCCCACCATGCTACATGGAGCGCCGGCGTTCACAAGAATCGTTTACCGTGAGGAGTAAAAATCGCACGTCTCGTCGTCTCGAGCAGTCAGCTAGCTAGGTAAGCTCGTCGTACGTGCTCGTTGGCGGACTATGCAGACGTGGACAGTGGCGCGGAGTGGGGTGGTCTACGTGGAAGGATTCTGTGGCTGGGAGGGCGCGCGGGGATTTCCATGGGCGGTTGGATGCCATCCACATCCTGGAGTTGGAGCGGGCAAATGGCAGCACGCCAGCATGGGCCGTGACAAAAATGGTTGGGCTCAGGATAAGGTACATACATGTCCCACCTGGGCAGGCACCGGGTCGGCGGTTGGCAGTTGGCACTGCTCTCGGTGAAGTGGAGGCGGCGGATCCAAATACTACGCCACTGCTTCCGCCATGGGCTGACCAGTGGCAGTGACCATCGGCGGTGGTTGATGGGGAAACCGTTGATGGGATCATGGGAGTTTGTTTACCCGAGAGGAGTTGATTTCAGACGAATTTGCTATACATCCTTCGAATTGGCCCAGATTATCTCCTTCAGTAGAGCTGACTGGGCTAAACGTAAGGACTGCGGCTGCTCACACACAACACAAGGCCTCCAGTCCACTGGTCTGGCTTGAGAAGCATCAGAAATCACAATTTAAGAGAAAGTCCACTTTACATCCCTAAACTATTGGCCAATTTTTAGTTGCGTCATTCAACCGCAAAACCGAATACAAAGCATCCCCTAACTTTTGTAAAACCAGTGAACATCAAGTCCCCTGGCAGTATTGACAGTGATTTCTACTGTCATAGCTTGTTGACTTAAAATCTTTGTCCCATGCGATGTCTACGTGCTGTTTATGTGGCCCTAGAATCAAAAATAAAAAAATAAAAAAAATAAAAAATAGAAACACCAATGGTGCCTCCACTGCCGCCTATTCCCAGGTGCCCCCGTATCTTCCGTGTCGACTCCAACACCAGCGATCCCATTGTAATATGCTCAAGAGGCTGGAGAGAAGGTTGGAGAGAAGATGGGAGGAGCGAGGGAGAGAGATGGTGACAACACGTTTGTCTCACTGTATTTTTTTTTATTTTCCAATGAAAAACACATATTGACATATGGGTCACATTGGTGATTTTCTTTTTGTTTCTGGTGCCACGTAGACACCACATGGATGTCACATGGACCAATACCAAGTCAATAAACCACATACGCACTTAATTTGCACTGATTTTAGATATTAGTAATGCTCTATGTCCATTTTTACGGGTAAGAGATGTGGCTGGAACTCGACTGTTGATAATTTACACACACCACTTGTAGGCATATCACTCCCTCCTGTGTTTTAGTTTTGAAGTAAGTTAAACTTTCATAATTTGATTAAAATTGTAAAATTATTCACTGTCTGGATCATCAAATTAGCTTAATTAAAATCCATCATAAAATACATGTTGGTAATGTATTTATTGGCATGGTAGATGTTAATTGTTTTTAATAAACTTGATTTAGGACAAACATACTGACTAGGCTGCCTTGACGTAGGCCCAACAGGCAAACGATGCAACTAAAATAGCTTAGGGTAATACAAAGATAGAATTTGATATAGACTCTTAGTTCAATGACAGAGATATACATTACTGAAGACTAGAGCTAAGATAAGCTCAACTAATAAGATTAGATTTCTACAAAATTTACATGGTGACTTAAAAAAAAATTAAGCATGACTTTAGAGGAAGGCGTAGGCAAGCCTTAGCAGTCCTAGGCCTGCCTCCACCCTGTCTTAGTTAATACATACGGAGTAATTATCCTCATATCCTATAATAATTGAGACAATGAAGTCTCTCAACCATTAATGCACAAAAACAACTTTGTTATCTTTCTTTCCTTTTCTTCACATAATATAACAAAATTTTCTCTAATAAATGCTAAGGGTCTATTGATAGGGGTTCAACTCCTAAATTTAACTCCAGTAATTAAGTCCGTAGTGAAGTTTGTAAGTTCAAGTGCCTTAATTTGGTTTCGGTGATTAATGACAAATCTAATTATATGAGACTAACGTTTTTATGAGCCTTTCTTTGACTAGTCTCATTTGGATATGGAAGTAAAAATGATGAGAGGTATGTATTAAACTTCACATATTCTAACTTGGTCTCTCTTGTGGATCCAAAATATAGTATGAGCTTCCTATTTGATCTTTATTGATTATGTGCATATGTGTTCCTTCATATCCATATGTATGCACATCTTGAGGGGGAGCTTATTCTATATTTTGTTTATTATAAGATTTCTATCTTGATTTGAAATCATTTTTCATCTCATCTCTCTATATTGTTTATATCGAGTTATTATCCATCACCAAAGAGAGAAAAGATTGTAAGATCTTGGATTAAACAATTTGTGTAATTGTTACTTTGGTGATAGATGATAAACCGATGTTTATGGGATTAACCTCTTTTTTGCATAAGTTGTCTACTAGGTTATTTCCCGATAATGAGATGTGGAAGACATGCATTCTTTTGTGATGGACCTTAATCATGACAAGGATGAAATGCATGGAGATAAAACGATATGTACCACTTCTTATCTCCTACTTTTTGATAGGTTCATATATATGATTTCCATGTTATTGATATATAAGTGTGAGACTAATGTTTACTCGAATGTTATCTTATTTAGTCTCATTTACATTGAGAACATGGAGATCATGAAGGTATATGTTTTATGTTGGTCTACATCATTACTACATATGCCTTCTCTATATGTATAGGATAAACCCCCATTGGTCATTCTCTAATTATGCATACACTTGCATCTCTTGTATATTTATTTGCATGCATATATTTAGGGGGAGCAAATCCTATACATTTATTGTGCATGTTCTAAATCCATGTTGTTCACCTATTATTTATATCGGATCTTTGCACTTGAGCTTGCATACGAGTATATGACACTTGTGATGTTAATGAATACTCAACAAACATATCCATATCTTTCATATGCAACCGGTTGGTCATCAAGTGAAGGATGACAACCGATTTGTTGAGACTAATGTTCTCCTTTGAGGTGTGAAAATGAATAGGTCCCACTACGATGAGGCTAATGAATGACACCATGGGTTAGTGGTCACCAAGCCAAGGACATCGTCATGTTGGCAAGAATGAAGTCAAGCTTGTGATGAGAATAAAGTCTTGACAAAGGATGGACAAGACCTCGGCATAAACATGGTTCAACCGGATGGTCACAAGTGTTGATCTCGGCTCAAGCTTGACCCCAAGATGGATGGCGCAAGGCAAAGGTATAATGTAGCTAAGAATGTTTTCTTAGTCTTTTCCCGGTCTTGGTGTTTGGTGTAGACCGGATTTGCTAGATAGGCGTCGTACTATCAAGAGGGGTCTATGAAGCGAGCTTGTGGATGATCTTGTGCCATATTAGTTCATATGCATGTAGGTGCATTTTGTGGGCTTGTCTAACCAAGTGTGATGAGTTTTCTCAAGTCCTAAACCAAGAGAGAAGTGGGCATGTCCAATAGGAGTGAGTGACATCTTGTGGGTATGTCCGGTGGATATCCTTTGGAGTGTGAGCCATTTATCCTTGACTTAAGTTGTGTTTCTTGGATGGATTTTTCATGGGTTGAATGGCACTTTGAATAAGCTTTCCATAGAGTCGAAGAACGCCAAATTCCAAGACCCGAGTCAAGAGATATCGCCGTTTTACTAACGGTCGGTTGAGCTGAAAAGTGACCTGCGGTCTGACCGTGGGCCTTAGGCCGGTCTGACCGGGTCTGTTAGCCGGTTTGACTGGCGTGGTAAGGCCGGTCTGACCGGCCCCACTGGTCTATTGCACTGGTCTGGTTTTTGGTGACGATACAGAGCCGCCAGAGCCACAACCGGTCAGACCGAGCCGACGGCGGTCTGACTGAGCCATGGACGGTCTGACCGGCCACTACACTACGGTCAGACCGACCAGGTTGAGTGGGCTCAATGATTGCCCTGTAACGGCTAGAAAAACTAGCCGTTACAAAGTAGTCCGGTCTGACCGGCCTCACAATGGCGGTCTGACCGGCAGAGCACAAAGTTGGGGATTTCGGTTCCAACGGCTAATTTTGGTGGTTGGGGGTATATATACCCACTCCCCAGCAGCAAAGGGAAAGGTTTTGGCACTCCATTGCATTATCTTGAACCCTTGCAAGAGCTCTTACACCCTTGTGCACTTAGTTTATCTAGTGAGGTGTTAGAGAGTGAGTTAAGCCAATCCAAGTGCATTGCTTCATTTTTATAGCTAGTGTGGCACTTGATCATCCTCGGCAAGAATCCTAGACTTGTTACTCTTGGAGGTTGCTGCCTCCTAGACGGCTTGTGGAGGTGTTGCCCGGTGACCTCTCCGAGGAGATTATGGAGGAGGCCCGGCACCGTTTGTGAGTGGTTTAGAGTTCACCACATTCGGAGTGAAGGAAGAACTACCCCGAGTGATCGAGGCTTGGGTAGTCCTCTCCGTGGGCCGGCTCCCACCTTGCCCACCCCTTGACGAAGGGGGCGTGCGGTGGCTTCGTGGTTGAGCGGTGGAGTTGGGCTCGCCTCAACGGGGATTAGGAAACCGGCGAGTTTCCGAACCTCGGTGAAAAATTCCTTGTCTCTTGTCTCATTTATTTGTTGCATTTACATTTGTGCTATTTACATTCATAGAGACATATTTGAGCCCATATCACTTAGGTTTGTAAAACTTAACTTAGTTGCTTAGTTAACCTTGCACCTCACCTTGCCTAGCAACTTAGGTTAGTTTTGTTTAAGTGCCATTAAGTTTTAAAACCGCCTATTCACCCCTTCTAGTCGGCCTCCTTGATCCTACAAAGTTGTAGAGAAGCATAAACCCAAATCCACCTCTCTAGTTCATTTTGTGAGAACACTTCAGCCTACCCCCACTCCCTTGTTTGAGTAGAGCTGAAATCATTTGGTTGAGCTCTAACTCCACATAAGAGGTGGAGCTGAAGTTGGAATTAGAGTTGTGCCCTAATAGGGCCTAAGAGTCAACTATAAGTTGTTTTACATAGTAACTATGTTTTCTTTCCACCTACCCCTCTCTTTCACGTCGCCAAATTTACTTGCATTGTATATGTCCTTATGATATGGAATGTAGCAGTATAAATGAAGATACCACGAGGATTCATTATCCAAATAGCGACGCTCCAATTCCTCTGCAAGAAATTTTCTTAAGAAACTTTGCAAAATATACTAAGGGCTTGTTTGGGGAGCTTAAGATTATGAGAAACTACTGATTGGTAGTTAGTTTCTGACTTTTAGTTTATTTTATAGACTATATAACTATAACTTATTAGGACTTGTAAAAAAACTAAACTGTTTGAGATAGCTTCTGATTTCGGGAGAAATTATAGCTGCTAAAAGCTTTCTAAACATGCCCTAGAATGAGGAGCTAAATCTGAGATTGGTTATCTAAACAGTGATGCTCTAGTTTATTTGCAAAAAGATATTTTTTTTGAGAAACTTTGCAACAAATAATAATAAAAAAACCAGAGCGAAATCTCTAGAGAGGCCACGTCTTCCGTGGCAAGAAAAAGCGAGTAATAATAACGCAAGCAAGTTCATCTTGGGCCGCAAGGCGAACTGCATAGCCGCCGTCCGTCCGTCCGATAACCGGTTCCCCACACAAATACGCTCGTTTCCCCCACCCACCGCTTCTCCTGGTCGATGCGCCGGCCGCCTTAAGCCTTAAACCCTACTCTCCCACAAACCCCCCCACCCAAAGCCGCCATGGCTGCCGCCGCCGCGAAGGCCGCGGCCGCCGCCCTCTCCACCGCCGGTGTCGTCGCCTTCTCCTCCGAGCGGGCGTACGCCGATGGGGGCGCCCCCGCGTTCCGATTCCCCGGCTTCTCCGCCCCCCCGACCCCTCCCCCCGCCGCGCAGCCGCCGCCGCCGACGCCGCCGGCTCCCGCGCCGGCCGCGGAGGAGAAGCGCAAGGTCCGGAACGATCACCCCCGCACCAGCGCCGCCGGGTTCGACCCCGAGGCGCTGGAGCGCGGGGCCGCTATGCTGAAGCAGATCGAGAACTCGCCGCATGGCAAAAAGGTAGGGGGATTCCGGGCTCCACCGCTCTGGTTGGGTGTTTCTTGGCCTGCATTCTTACGGGGGGTTCTCGACCCGTGGCCGCGCAGGTCTTCGAGATATTGAAGCAGCAGGAGGATGTGCGGAGGGCGGAGAACCTGACGAAGAAGGTGGAGTTTCAGAAGGAGCTTGCGGCGATCGAACTGGTGAGATATTTCTCGGCCTATCTTTTTTTTTCTGTGCTCTTACTTTCTTAGTCATGGTGAGCTGATGATTTGAACGAATTGGAATTGGTTCCAGTCATAAACCATTGCAACAAGTAAAAGAGAAGAAAGCGGAACGTTTTGAGACATTTAGGATTATGAAGGAACACTTTGTAGGATCAGTAATATTTTTGCGATTGAACGTCACAGCTATAATATTTTGTGTTCTTATGGTAATAATTTTTTATTCAGTTCTGACCGACATTCAGTTTGACTTATATGACTTCCATATGGTGTTTATTGGTGATATTTATGTCTAGCTAATCTAATTAGCTGCCAAAGCCATTTCCTTGATCATTTAGCCCTGTACACATTCAGGGTGTCATCACCAGGGCAATTCTGTATGCGAATTCACAAGTTAGGACATACTTTTGTTATTTACCATAAGGAATTTTGCAGGAGAAGACACGCGTTGATTATGATGAGAGGAAAAAACTTGAGCAACAGCGAGCTCAGGTAAAATCACAGATGTCTCGATACGAAGATGAGCTAGCAAGGAAGAGAATGCAGGCAGATCATGAGGCCCAGAGAGTGAGAAACCAGGAGCTCGTGAAGATGCAAGAGGAATCAGCGATTAGGCAAGAGCAGATGAGACGTGCGATCGAGGAGCAAATACAGGAAGAACGAAGAAAGACTGATAGAGCAAAGGCAATTGTGGAGAAGGAAATTGAGCAAGAGAAAATTTTAGCTGAGGCAAATGCGAGAATAAAGTTAAAAAAACAAACTGAAGATGTTGAAAGGCGATTGCTTATTGAGGGGGCAAAGGCTGAGAAGGAGAAGTGGGTTCAATTAATAAATACAACCTTTGAGCATATAGGAGGTATGCCAGATAAATAGCTACAAAATTGTGAATTTATTGGACTTCTTTTCTGTAGTATTATAAGATATTTTCATAAGTTTTGTATAATAAATATATTTTTAAGAATTTGGGAACACTCTTAGAAGAGATGGCTTTTCATTTTGTATGCCTCTACTAGGAAACTAGTTCCTAGTTTAATATTTTTTTCCTTTATATTTTGGGATGGAGGGAGTACTAAAGTAGACTATTTTAATTTTATTTAGTACTCCATCTTTCCCACGTAAGGCGAGCATGCATTTTAAGATTCAACTCTTGAAATATTTGATCAACAATTAATCTAATATAAATTCAATTTTATTTGATGAAGATAATATCATTGGACTGACATTTGAATTTTACTTTCCCATGGTTATGATTTTGTTGCTACAAACATTATAGTATATAAGAAATTAAAAGTTAAAGGTTGGATACACGTGCCAAGTTTGACCGCGTGTCCACGCCTTATACTGTGGGACAGAGGGTGCTGAGTGGAACGGTCTTTGTGTGCTCTTGTTATGACACAACTGTTTTAATATATAAAAGTTTGAGTGTCCTGTAATACTTTTCTTCTACATGTTTCAGGTGGTCTACAGACAATATTAACTGATCAAAATAAGCTAGTTGTAGCAGTTGGAGGTGTCACAGCACTTGCAGCTGGGATATACACAACAAGGTAAATTTCATAAGCCATACCGCTGTATATGTCTCAGATTCAAGAACACTTCTTTCATAAGTACCCATGAAGAGAGTGGCACAAATTAATTGTCCTTGGCAAGCTTATTGTACCTTCTTTTTTTCTTTTGCGCCCACTTTCAACTTTCAAGATTAATTTCCATGAAACTTATTCTAAAGATTGCACAAAGCAACCAATTGCTCTACCTATCATTCATTCACTGCCCATTATTTCATCTACCTTGAGATTGTTGCTTTCCTTTGGAATGCATCTGAATTTATGTTTTTGCCATTCATTTGCTCACTTTATATTCTTATATAGATTGGTGTATTTTATTCCAGGGAGGGTGCAAGAGTGGTCTGGGGCTATGTTGATCGTATTCTAGGTCAGCCATCACTTATTAGAGAGTCATCACGAGGGAAATATCCCTGGTCTGGTGTCTTCTCACGTGCTATGAGTACAATGACTAGTAAACTGAATAAAGGAAGCAACTTGGGGAACAACGGGAATGGGTTTGGTGATGTTATTCTAAATCCTTCTCTTCAGAAGAGAGTGAAGCAGCTTGCTAATGCCACTGCCAACACAAAACTTCATCAAGCTCCTTTTAGAAACATGCTTTTCTATGGTCCACCTGGCACAGGAAAAACGATGGCAGCAAGAGAACTAGCTCGGAAATCTGTACGTTATACTTGACAAGTCTCTGTGAACACTAATGACAATGTTTCGAATATTATTAGCTCACTAACATTATGGACATCTACAGGGATTAGATTATGCACTAATGACTGGTGGAGATGTTGCACCATTGGGATCGCAAGCAGTCACTAAGATTCATCAGTTGTTTGACTGGGCAAAGAAATCAAATAGAGGTTTACTCCTCTTCATTGATGAAGCTGATGCTTTCTTGTGCGAGTAAGTGATAATCTAATCTTCAGTCTGCTCTTGTTTGAAAATATGGATTTGCAGCATCTGAAAATTTCAGAAAGGATTTGAATCTCTATTTAGATACTAAAGTAGTAAAGTTTAATGAATGATATAAATGATTTGCAATCAATCAATCACTGAACTTGATGTAAGGACTTGCCATTCCATTTGTTACATGCTTTAGAATTTGCCACTTGATGCCTCAGTGACACATGGTACTTGTGAGCGAGGTAATAAGTTGACTGAGTGGCAAATCCTCAGTTTCCACATTCATCTATTTCAGTTTCTTTTGCCTGTGTGGTGCTTGCTTTTGTCAGTACGAAATTTTCATGCCATTGTTAAGCTGAAAATGGCCAGTAAAGTTGGGGCCCAAAATTGACCAGTTGTGCAGAAGTAACTGTATATTCTGAGCAAAAAAGTAGCTCTTTCTCTTGCATATGTTTATCCTAATTTTCACAAGTTCACCTGGAAAACGTTGGGTTAGCAAAGGAATGTGAATATGTGATCACCTTTGGATAAGAGCACTCATCTTCGCAATTAGGTAATGCTGTGCAGAGTTCTGCTTTCTAGCTCTTTAAAATTGTAACTCTAATTTCTTCCCACGTTGACATTACAGGGTGTGTATTCGTATATTTTCAATTGGTTTCCTTAAATGGGAATTTGTTATAGTCAAAGAATAGTATTAACATTTCAGAGTAATATCTTCTATCTTGCAGACGGAACAAGACATATATGAGTGAAGCTCAAAGGAGTGCCCTGAATGCTCTCCTTTTCCGCACAGGCGACCAATCTAAGGACATCGTCCTTGCACTTGCGACCAACAGGCCCGGTGACCTTGACTCTGCTGTCGCCGACCGAATCGATGAGGTCCTTGAGTTTCCCTTGCCTGGGGAAGATGAGCGGTCCAAGCTTTTCAAACTATATCTGGACAAGTACATAATGAAAGCTGGTGAAAAACACGAAAAGAGCTGGCTCAGGTTCTTCCGCGGTCAGCCTCAGAAGATAGAGGTGAAGGGTGTCACAGATGACTTGATACGGGAGGCGGCTGCCAAGACCGAGGGTTTCTCAGGAAGAGAGATCGCGAAGCTGATGGCAAGTGTTCAGGCTGCCGTGTACGGAAGCAAGGAGTGCGTGCTGACTCCAGACCTGTTCCGTGAGGTTGTAGACTACAAGGTCGCCGAGCACCAGCAGAGGAGACGACTTGCTGGCTATGAGCAGAAGAATGCTTAGGAAGTCTCTTTTCGCGCAACCCCCCCCCCCTCCCCCCTCTTTTGCTGTAGGCTCACAATGTTTATTTCTTGCGAGGTTGCCTGAACGGCCAGGTGATTTATCTGCTTCGTTGTCTTTAGCTTTATTATTCTTTTGCTGCAATCCTTACCCTTACATGGGGAGTTTTTGGCAATGGTGGATGATCAACAGAAGAAGAGGATTACATGTATGAACGATAACCTAACGCAGTGTCACTTGCGACAAGATGGGAAATTTACTGGACAATATCATTGATCAGCTCTAATTTCGCATACATATTCCCCTCTGTTGATCTTTATTTTTTAAAAATAAATAAATAAATAAACGTCATAGACTCGAAGTCATTGATCGCCGCTGTGGTCTTCTGAATGATCCAAAAGCTTTCAGTGATATGTGGTGTTGATATTGATCTGCTGGTCTACGTCGAAATGATACTGATCTGTTAGTCTACGTCGAAACACCGTATATACCGTGATGTGTGACTGGATGAAGTGTTGTGTACTCGTTTGGTCGTCACCATTGCCCCGGCATAGCGTGCACGGCGCCCAGCTCCACCGCATTTTTCTTCCGCGTTCTTCATTGCGGCGAGCTCGACTGCTCGAGCTTTCAACCATGAGTGTTAGAGTGGGGCCCTGCATTCTGCGAGGAATTTATTCGATTCTATCCTCCCACAAACAGCATGAATTCCTCTCTTAACACCATAGGCTATTCAGCCATTGCATCGATTTATTCAACTAATAACATGAGCACGAATTGCAAGCTCAAAAGGATCCAGCTGCAATTTCTGCCCAGTATGATGACTGTACTTTGGAGTAGAAAATTTGAAGAGTAGCATAAACAGACAGGGAAAGCAAGATTACCACCAATGAGTAGCAGTTACACAAAACCAAATCCAGCATATCAGTGATTCTGTGATAAATTTATTGTATTCAACAAATGCGACGGATGTAGTACACATTGCCTTTACCCGTATTTGTAGAAACATTTCACACCAACATCTGTTGTTACAGTTCCAAATTCAGACCTAACATTGCTGTATTCATCTCGTGGCATTTGACGAAGTGGAGTAATACATGTAAGCAGTAATGCACAAGCACAACAACATGAGGCAAAATAGAGTTGTACTAGCAACATCTAATTTACTGAAGCTCATTCGGCAGGACGCAGGCTCTCAGGCACGTCACATTCATCAAGCAGAGCTAGGATGTTATTCTCAGGGGCACTTACAGAGGGTAATATGGCGCGCTTCGGTACTGCGGATCGCGACCTTGCTCCGCTGCTGTCGGACTCAAGCTGCGATCCTTCCTTCACGACTGGCAGGTCTGTCATCACCCTCACACCCGCTGTAGCGATCCTTTCTTTCCATATCCTCCCATCCTAGTATCCATCAATCGATGCATCAAGTAAGGGAATATAGCTAGGTAAGTAGACACTGGAGGAAACAGGGAACCTGTAAGAGAAGGCATGTTGTTGCAATTGTAGCACTGGATTTTCCTCTACATAAGTTGAATAAAATGCATGGTTCTCTTGTGTGTAGGTGAAATGAATTTTCTCTTGTGTGTCTTGCTCCTTATAGTGGATTACATAACACAAACCAACAACACAATTCTTCCACAAACAGCGACTGAATGGCTTACATGAAGTATAGATGGTTCAGGAAGTGGACATTTCACAGGTTGATCAAGGTTGACAGGCTCCACTGGGTGCTCCACCGGCTTGAACTCGACGCCGACCTCAATGCCATGCGGACTATCTGCAGGAACAGCTTGTGAATCAGGCTCTCCGCTGTTCATGTTGGGTGCCAACGTCTCCACAACCTCCTGTATCACCAAAATGGAAACCCCCAAATCAGTAACTATTTATCTTTTCCTTTGATAACTAAAGTCGGTAACTATTTCGGTTCCCACAATTGCTGGTTGATTGCAGGGGTGGGCCACGTAATATTGTTAGCTCTGTGCAAATTTGTCAGGAACTGCATCTAATTCAAAGAATTGTCAAATCGAGAGAATTTCTCATAAACAACAAAAGCTCCCAACTTTCTCCAATTTTCTGGCAGCAACCAAGCTGTCTGTTCTTGGTTGACTAATCCAAAGAAAGCACCCAACAGTTATTAGTACATACTATACTATTTCACTTGAATCCAACCAAACAAAGATCATCTAAAAGCAACCATCCTCGCTGAAACAATCCTAATTCGAGACATCATAAGAGTAAAAGAAAGCAACTACCCTGCGCTGGAGAAAGCACAATCTACCCATGATAAGCGAATAAGAGATCAAATCGAATCAGCCCCAATCGAAGGGACCTCGCTGAGCTACCAATAACCTAGTCTTCAGCTATAGCCATCGACATCTAGATCCCTCCTTGGGGAATTAAAACTACCCAAAAAAAACACACACACACAAATGGGCCTAATATAATAGGAAGACCCAAGTGGCGCAGACGGGGAGAGAGAGAGCTCACGACGGCGCTCTTGGCGCGGCGGTGTGCGCCGGCGGAGAACCTGGAGAAGATTCCAACCATCGTCCCCCGCTCTTGCTCCGTACCTCGCCGGAGCTCAAGCTGGGAGCTCCCTTTTCTCTCGCTATGGGGGGCAGGCAGCTACTGATGATCGAGAAGAAGAGGAAGGAGACGAAGAAAAGAAAAGAAAACCGTCGAAAGTTAATGAGAAAAAAGACGCAAGGGTGTCCGGTCCCACCCGCCAGTGAATAAAAGTGTGGACCCCACATGTCAGTGACTCATTAACCAGAATATTAGTATTTGTGTTTTTTTCTTTTTTAAAAAAACTTGAACTAGACGCGACCTGGGTTGAGTGAGATTAGTACTACTAGTACTAGTCGGTTGGTCGGTCAGTCCACCCCGCGACACCAACCGATTTCGCAGCGCCAGCCCACTGATTCCTCACCGAATTTTTTCATTTTTTTTCTCTCTTTCCATTCTCCCCGGCGATCGAGTAGCCGGCTTCTGCTCGCCGCCCGCGCGCCGGAGGGAGGCGAGGTCCAAAGCCGGCGAGGCGCCATGCACCACGACCCCAACCCCTTCGACGAGGGCGCCGACGATAACCCCTTCTCCGTAAGCAGCTACTACTACCTAACCAGCTCTCTCTCTCTCTCTCCTTTGGTGCTCTCTGAGATCTCGGGCCGGATCTCTCCGCTTGGTTGGTGTGGTGTGGTGTTTTTGTGGCGGATGCTAATGGGGTGTGGGTGTGGTGTAGAATGGAGGAGGTGGTGGAGCACGTCGTGGTGGTGGTGGCGGCGGTGGTGGTGGCGGTGGCGGAGGCAAGTCTCAGTTCTCGTTCGGGTTCGGCGGCCTCGGCGGCGGCAGCAAGGGCGGTGCCACTGTCGACATCCCCCTCGACAACATGAGCGTAAGAGAGGCTAACCCAAGTGTCTCGTGATGTCGTCTGCTTTTAGGATCACCCACTACTTCTGCAGTGGTGCTTAGCGAGTGGCTGATCTGGAACTTCTTTTTAAATTATTTTTGTTCTTCAATGAAGGATTCGAAGGGCAAGGGGAAGGAGCTGTTGCAATGGGAGGCAGATCTCAAGAGACGAGAGGCGGTACGTGGATCATGCTGTTGCCTTTGATCCTTGGTGTTGGTTTAGTATTAAATGACGATGCTAAATTGTTAGCTGTGTTTCTGTTTTCTTGGATTTTTTTTTTGTGTTGGTGTAGGATATCAGGAGAAGGGAGGAAGCTCTCAAGAGTGGTAAGCTTCTAAGTGCATTGGATTTGGTCCTGTGATTTTCTTCTATTCTGTTATTGCTGAACCTTTCAACTGAATGTTGTGCGTTCACGAAAAACTGAATGTTGCACACTGTACCGCGTTGATGACTTGATGTAGCCGGGGTGCCCATGGAGGAGAAGAACTGGCCACCATTCTTCCCAATTATCCACCACGACATTGCCAACGAGATACCTGCCAATGCACAGAAGTTGCAGTACCTTGCATTTGCAAGCTGGCTTGGTACAGCAAATCATCTTTTGATGATAACTATCCCTAATGCAGGGTGTTCCTATATACTGTTTTCAAGAGGACCGCGCTATTCATACTTATGGAGAATGTTTGTGTCATTGTAATTTACAGGGATTGTACTTTGTCTCTTCTGGAATTTTATTGCTGTCATTGTCTGTTGGATCAGAGGAGGAGGTGAGCTAAGCACTTCTTTCTCGCTAGTTTTGCATTCCCTGTACAATGCCCATGCAGGCATGCACCTGCACATGTGTATTGTACAATTTACTTGAATAGCTGTTTAGATACCTAAAACGTGCTTTTATTGCACTTTTATGGTTTTTACTGCAGTCTGCTCCAGGTCACTAAATTTTGTACTTTCTTGTGCAGATTCCAAGCTCTTTTTCCTGGCTACTATCTACGGTATGCTTGGAATGCCTCTGTCATACTTGATGTGGTATAGGCCTCTGTACCGCGCAATGAGGTATGCCTCCAACAGTTAATGTTTCATACTATCAACACAGAACAATCTACTGTCATTTGCTTCTCGCAATTTGTTAACGAAGGGATTCCAGTGTTCCACTTCCTGTCAGCCTAACTATACTGAAAACACTAACATGCACATCATTGTTAATAAACCGCAGAAAATATTCATATGTTCATAAAGATGTAAAATAGGCAATCATGAATTCAATGGTGTTTAACATCAACTGAACTGCAAGTACCTATATGTTTACTACTAGCATTGCTTTTATTTTTAATATTCTGTCAATATGTTGAACAGAACTGATAGCGCATTCAGCTTTGGATGGTTTTTCCTTTGCTACATGGTATGGCCTTGATCAACTTGCATGTAAATGCTTTTTTGGGTTGCAAATCCTGAATGAATTATTTCATGTCTTTGTTTTGGTGTAGCTTCACATTGCCTTCTGTGTATTTGCTGCCATCGCTCCACCAGTTATATTTCGTGGAAAATCATTAACGTAAGCTACTATTGAGAGCTTTCAATATGATGAACCTCTGCTATTTCAACAAGATTTGTGCTTTAGTTTATCTGATCCGATGCTAATATAAATATGTTTTGTTTGACACCAGTGGTATATTGGCTGCAATTGACACCTTCTCTGATCATGCAATAGTCGGGGTGAGTAGTTTTGTAGATTCTGTTTTGGATCTTCTGTACCTGGCATATATTGAATAAGCAACTAGGCATGTTTTATGCTAACACTTCTCTACTCACATAGTCTACAAATATTTCATTGCGACTTTGCAAAGGTCCGCTATTGAGTATATGTATGTGATTTTGATATAAACTTCTGTTATTTCAGATCTTTTACTTTGTCGGATTTGCCTTGTTTTGCTTGGAGACACTTGTGAGCATTTGGGTTCTTCAGGTTTGTGACTCAGTCTGCTTTATCATGATGTCCCTTCCCTCCTACGGAGTATTAGTTTGCATTTTGTTTGTCAAGCCTCTTGGTGTTAGCACAACCCTTTCAGGCATGTCTGGATATTATATCTGAATGGATGATGAGTACTCCCTCGGTCCCCTAATATAAGGGATTTTGACATTTTGCTTGTACTGTTTGACCACTCGTCTTATTCAAAAAATTTGTGCAAATATAAAAAACGAAAAGTTGTGCTTAAAGTACTTTGAATAATAAAGTAAGTCACAAATAAAATAAATAATAATTTCAAATTTTTTTGAATAAGACGAATGGTCAAACAGTGCAAGTAAAACGTCAAAATCCCTTATATTAAGGGACGGAGGGAGTAAATAGTTATTTTTGACTCATGGAGTACATTCATTATGGATTAAATATTTTGAGTTTGGACATGCGTATATCGAGATAAATACAGTTAGTTATGGAACAATGATTATATTTATTCACATAATTTTGTTAATTTCTTATATATGTTAGTGCACTTCTCTAATTAGAAGCTTTTTGTACTTACTATTATTTTCATTGGTTTGGCTTTCTATCTGTTCATTTCTATGCATGACTTTCAACAAAAGTGAAGTTTCTTGCATTTAATAAAGTAGGATTTTTTTTTATTTACTTGTGATTGTAGCTTTATGGATAAAAGCACATGATGTAGATCAGCTAGCCAATCTTTTGTGGCTGCGATGTCCATTTGTCTCACAGTAAAAAAAAAACAAAAAAACAAAAGATTGAAGGCGCATATCACATTCTCACATTAATATCAATCCCTTGTAATTGGTGTTATACACCTTTACCTTTTTAACGTTATGTATCATTTCTCATCATGCATTATGCCAATGCCAACTTTTGATCCTCTGATTTTGGTGCATGCAGAAAGTATACATGTATTTCAGAGGGCACAAGTGAAGTGGGCCGTGGAAGAAATATTACAAAAGCCCACCAAATACTATCTGATTGAGCTGCAGTTCTGTGCATACATATATGTACATGTCGATCTTGTATGTTATGTAGTGATGGAGATGTTCTAAGTACATGTCAATCTATAGTGTTATTTTTTTTAACAGGAATACTATTTTATAGTGTTGTTTTCTGGGCTGATCGGTCTGTTGTGTTGAACCTCAATTCTTTACCTATACAAATTGCACTTTGTTCACTCTTTTGTTTGATAGTTCAATTTTACGGTTGATTGGTCTGTTGGCCTACGACAAGAGCCATGCTCGTTGGAACCAGAAGACAGCAACCCATCTGTCTGGGGATCTCATTTGTGCTTTGAGACTTGGAAGGAATCTTGCACTCCTTGGAGATTCAGCTTCCGCCGAACTTGGGATCAGGTGCAGTCCCAACTACAACTGCTGAACTTGGGATCAGGTGCAGTCCCAACTACAACTGCACGTTAGGGACTGCACAAGATCTTGTCCATTCAATTTTTCAGTGGAAGATCTAGATTAAATGCTACAATAACCTTGTTATAATAATTTTGTGCTAGATTGTTTGAATGAACAGTGTCCATTAAATTTGGGCTTTGGATTTGCATCCCACAGCCGTAGCATGACTGTCTAAGTTGCAGTCATACTGGACTGCACAGGAACCAAATTCGTACTCTTGTGCTCACCAATGTTTATGTATTTTTTTAACAGCAAATACAGAACCAAATGAGGCTGTTTATCATATTTTTCCCAGGTAATAATGTTCTGGTTTGGCACGGTTTGTATTATAAGCATTGATACAACTTGAGTTGAGAATACATGCCAGAAAATCGGCAAACAAATAATATACGGCACAAACCTGACATTATATATCATCAATGCATAATTGATTATATCATACGGCTGACCATTAACTTGCAAGATAAAATTGCACTGGAAAGTGGAAACAAATCGAATTTCTTCAGTTTCGTGGCCGTGGGATGTTGGGCGTTGGCAGCCCCCCAGCATATGCTTTGGAGATGTCCTGCGAGTCTCGGCCATCTAGACATCTAGTGACATGGATGCTGACTTGTCTTGGCCACACAGTGACGCGGCTGCTGATGAAGTGATGAGGTGCTCACCTGCTGCCACGAGATTACGCGTGGACTGCGTTGGTGGGCTAGATGTACATATATGGTGCACAGCAAACAGCAAGGTTGAAGGGAGCAGCATCAGCGATATCCAGCCTCCAGTTTCCAGCCTCCATTCCCTCATCCTCAGCCAGCCATCCCTGCGCTGCCACGTGGCATAACCATATCTAAATTCATGAAACCACCACCAAGCTTTCTCCCGAGCATCCCTGGCCATCACAAATTCAAGCATCGATTAATCGGCAGCACAGGAACAAGTGCATGTATTCTCCGGGACATAAAAATGCAGGACGTGTAAAATAAATCTCAAAGTACGTCCTTCTCTTCGTATCTTGGCAGCTAGCAGACAAGCAAAAAAGCACTGCAACTTTCAGCACATAATACTTATATAAATTCAGAAATTAAGTGAGAAATGTTAGAAACATCACCAGAAAGGATGATTGTAAGAGAGCCAAAAAGCTTTTCTTAACAATAAAATTCAGTGTCCATAGGGAGAATGCTGACAAAATATGATTATTTGAAATTGAAGAACTCATTTTCAGTTCACTATAAGCTGCCCTTGATATCATCAGAAAAGAAAGGAAAATAAGGGGTACCACATCATCATCATCCTCTCTCCTCCTTATGTTCTCCTAGCTCTATCCCCTCAATTCTTTCAACCTCCTCTCTCTTCTCATCAAGCCTCAATCAAAAGGCTTGAAGGGAAGAAGAGCAACTCCAGCAGGTAGAAAGGCCAGAAGCAAAGATGGCGATCTCCAGCCTACATGCCACCACCTCCCTGCACTCCCCATGCACCACCAACACAAGCTTCAGGCAGAATCAGGTCATCTTCTTCACCACCAGAAGCAACAGGAGGGGTAGCACAAGGTACGGAGGAGCAAGAACCTTTCAGGTTTCATGCTCAGTCGACAAGCCAGTGGTGATTGGCCTTGCAGCAGACTCAGGATGCGGGAAGAGCACCTTTATGCGCCGGCTCACCAGTGTGTTTGGTGGTGCTGCAGAGCCACCCAAGGGTGGCAACCCAGACTCAAACACACTCATCAGTGACACGACAACGGTGATATGCCTCGATGACTACCATTCCTTGGACAGGACTGGCAGGAAGGAGAAAGGTGTGACTGCCCTGGACCCTAGGGCAAACGATTTTGATCTCATGTATGAGCAGGTGAAGGCAATCAAAGAAGGCAAGGCAATTGAGAAGCCAATCTACAACCATGTTACTGGTCTCCTAGACCCACCGGAGCTTATCCAGCCCCCCAAGATTTTTGTCATTGAGGGCTTACATCCCATGTGAGTTTACATTTTATCCCATGCTCCACATGATTCTTCCTTCTGCTGTAGTATTTGGTGTTTATTCTTTTGTTTCTTCATCACATTTGATTACATTCTGGGTAAATCGCTCTCATAATCTCAGTCCAAATTATGTTATATATCTTAAAAAATATTTCAAGTACCTGATTTTTCAGGAGGTAAAAATACTTCCCGAGTAAAACTAACATGATCATTTTGCAAGTCTAACACAAGCAGATTGTTTTTCCAATTTCTTGTCATTACTTATTAGTTTACTTATACTTTTAAACCAGGTTTGATGAACGTGTGAGGGACCTCCTAGATTTCAGCATCTACCTGGACATCAGTGACGAGGTTAAATTTGCATGGAAAATTCAGGTCTGTCCAACAGTAAGGTTAATGTATTTCTTCTTCCACATGAGCCATGGAACAGCAGATTTTGCTAAAATAAACTTGCACTTATGCAGAGGGATATGGCAGAGCGCGGTCACAGCCTTGAAAGCATCAAGGCTAGTATCGAAGCCAGGAAACCAGATTTTGATGCCTTCATTGGTACTGCTTTTTACTAACTAAAATTTCAAAGCTACAATTATAATTCAGTAAAAAAAAGAAGAAGCTATATTTGAATAGATAAAAGATATGCAAGGCATACCACATCAAATCACCAACAATTGAAACTCAATAAAACAAGACATGTCAATGCTTACCATTTGTTATGACAGATCCCCAGAAGCAATATGCTGATGCAGTGATTGAAGTTCTGCCAACCCAGCTTATTCCTGATGACAATGAAGGAAAGGTGCTACGTGTTAAATTGATCATGAAAGAAGGTGTAAAGAACTTCAACCCAGTTTACCTCTTCGACGAAGGATCAAGCATCACCTGGGTCCCTTGTGGAAGAAAACTCACATGTTCTTATCCTGGCATCAAATTTGCCTATGGCCCAGACACTTACTTTGGGCATGAGGTAATTTAAATGGTTTATTTGTCCCTTTTTGCCATGTCCGCAGCAAACCAACCACTGTCACTTGGATATTAAAATGACAGCAAGATAGCGAGCAGTCTGAACTCCGAAGTATGAACAAATACTCCAAAACAACTATAGATCAACAATTCACTTCGTACACAAATCATAATTGTCAATCAGCTTTCCTCTCCCAGAGCTGTATATGCTTACTGGTTTGTTGATGTCTTCAGGTATCAGTGCTGGAGATGGATGGCCAATTTGACAGACTAGATGAGCTTATCTATGTTGAGAGCCATTTAAGCAACCTCTCAACCAAATTTTATGGAGAGGTGACACAGCAAATGCTAAAGCATGCAGACTTCCCCGGCAGCAACAATGGAACAGGTCTCTTCCAAACTATCGTAGGACTGAAGATTAGAGATCTCTATGAGCAGATTATTGCTGAGAGGGCCGGTGCACCTACTGAAGCGGCAAAAGTTTAATGAGCTCCACATTCATATTTCGTGAATCTCTTCATCACCATACCATATCAATGACAATGGGCATCCTCGCATTTCTTGTAACTAGTTTTGGAAATATTACAGCTAGAAGAAAGTAGGATGGTCATTGCATAACTTGTGAAACCATGCAATGGAACTTCTAAAAATCCCTCTCCATGAGGGTGCTCCTACATCTCTTCTTGACACATTTCAATGTACATCTTCTATATTTCAATGTAGAAAGAAATACGGTTGCTTTCTACTATAAAAAATAGGTCCTTCCTTTAGTGCCTCTCTTGTTGGCTATTGCTTCTGGTCATAAGTCAACAACATATGATCGACAAGGGAAGAAAATACAGACGGAATATTTATAGATGAATTGGGAGTAAAATTTATGAGTGGTAGTCCAATGAGTGCCTAACCAATCTCACTCTATTGTGTGGATCTGCAGTGAGAATAATGCAATTCAGTGAATCATATTCGTTCACCAATTAATGGAGTCATGGGATCATCATGGTTATATGCAGCTATACTTTAAACAGAAGTTATATACGGTGCACATGATAGTTTCAGATAAATAACAAACAGACAACCATGAAAGGAACTCCAGATTTCAGAACAGAAACTCATAGGCTTGCATATGTGAATTTCAAAAGCACATTGCATAAACATGGAGTCTAAGAATTGCATAAATAATATGATGCTGAGCATGAATATGAGACAGTGCATGTTATGCAAGCCTAAAAGAGAAGCCTACAAACTCATACAAAACATTGGTGATCAGCATGTACCGGCCTACCAGGTGGTACCACCGGAAGTCATGACGACAATTACAATCTGTACTTGGTGTTTCCATATGATACAAAAATGTGACTTACTATGACATGTGTTGGCTGAAAGGGAATTGCTAGAAAAACACTCATTATGTTGGCACAACATGCTACGGAAGTAAAATATCCACAGTAATAGATTTACAGCAAAACAACTGATCATAGATAAGGTTTCTTCACTTGTCTCACTAGTTACCATGCATCATCAAAAGAGAAGACGTGGATAAATCCATATCTGTGAAGGCCATGGCAAGTGGTTCATTGCTTGAATGGACAATGGTCCAAGCCCTTGACCACCGAGAGGCACCTCACGCCCAGGCCGCCATGCATACCAGTCACGGCACCCAGGAGCAGCAATGTAAATTCGGTTCGCCTCCACGCCACAGTTCTCCACGTCTACACAAGCAGCTGTACTCCTCCCGGCGCAGTCCACAAACAAGCTGTAAGCCCCAATGTTGTCCACCTCTTCCCACCTCATCTTCACCATGTCAAGTGCATAGACGCCAACCTTCTTCACACTCACCAATGTCTCAAACATATGGCCCAATTTCGGCCCCATCATGAAGAGCACCAGGAGCAATCGATCACCGGCGGCGACCAGATGCGGGCCGAAGTGCCACCGGTCGAACGTGCTGACCTCAGGGAGGCCGGCGGCGTGCAACATTTGGGCGGATTTGTTCGGAGGGTTGGCATCGAGGTGGAACTCCAGCAGCTGCGCGCGATCGGTCAAGCCGAGGACGCGCCCGCGGAATTCGAGGATGGATCGAACGAAGGAGGCGGCACGGGGGAGGCTGTGCTTGGTCCAATCGAGGCGAGGGTTGTGGCCCGCGTCGCCCACGGGGAGGGAGAAGAAGGCGTGCTTGGAATGGAAGAGGAGGAGGCGGCGGGATGGCGCGAGGGCGGCGTAGTGATAGGCGAAGTGCGGGGAAGGGAGCGGCAGCGCGTGGCGCGTGGCGCCGGTGAGCGCGTCGACGAGGTGGAGGCCGTGGAAGGGGTCGCGGCGGCGGAGGAGGACGAGGTGGCCGCGGGAGGAGGAGAGGAGGGTGGCGTCGCCCGGGACGGGGTAGGAGGAGAGGAGCGCCGCGACGACGAGCTGGGAGAAAGGGACGACGCGATAGGTGGGGCAGAGGAGGAGGAGCGGCGGGATGCGGGGGCGGACGAGGTCGGCGGCGGAGTCCCGGAGCAGGCGGCGCCAGGGCTGGCACGCGGCGGCGAAGGCGTAGACGGAGCGGAGGCAGGGGAGGAGGCCCCGTAGCACCTCCGAGAGCGGCAGCTCCGGCAGGTTGGCCCAGTCGCGGAACTCCGGCGAAGGATCCATCACCGCACCGCCGCCGGTGGGGGAGGCGCAAATCATCGGAGTTCTCGTGGGGCGCGCCGCCGGCGAGGCCTTTTCTCCCCTTCCTGCAGACGAGGACCGTGGCCGGTAAATGGGCCGGGCCGTTGACGCCGCCACTTTAGGAATAAGGTCACCGGAGGTCCCTCAACTTAACAGCTAGATTTTTATAGATCCCTTAACTACAAAACCAGAAATGTGTACCCCTAAACTCTCTTAAACCGTTCACCGAAGGTCCCTCGGAAGTTTTTTTGCCCGGTTTTGCTGACATGGCATCCTAGTCAGCAAAAAAAAATTAAAAAATTGCGTGGGGCCCACATGTCAGTTGCACATCTTTTTTTTCTCTCTTTTGTTCTTCTCCTCTTCTCTCTTCTCTCTTCAGCGAGCGCAGCAGCCATAGGCGGAGCGGTGTGATGGGGTTCTCCTCCATGGAGGCGACGAGCACGGCCGCGGCTGTGACGGCAGGTTCCCAGACCCGAAGCCAGTGCGTTCAGCTGGAGCAGCGGCTGCTACACCAACGCTGCATTCTCCGCCACGCGCTCCTCGCCGCCGCCCAAATGCTGCTGCTGCGCCTGCGTCGCCGCTAGGCTCACCGTCAGCTTCTCCTTGATCGCTCCCATCAATAAAAATGTGGACATCATTATTGATTGCTAGGAGCACTATGTGCTTGCAGACGGCGAACGACACGACGGCACCGGCGAAGCCTGCCGGGGCCGGGCCACAGCTGAAGCTGCTGGTGGACAAGCACTCGCGTAGGCGCGCAAGGACGCGGTGGACTTCCTCATCAGCCTCCTCCGCGTTCGTCTCGTTTGTCGAGGCCGACGCCGACGTCTCGCTAGAGGAGTTCGGTGACTCGCTGTGCCCGCCGATCCCTTGCACCGGCGAACTCTTGACCCTGCCGGATAGCAACTTCGCCGTCGTCACCGACCGGCCACTACTCTACGTGCAGGTACGTACGTCGTCATAAAACTTGAATAAACTTTGCAAATTTTGCACCATTTGTATTGTACGTGATTTACGTGTTCATGATGCCATGCATGTAGGTGACGAGGCTGAGGTGTGGCGGCTTCGTGTTGCATCATAGGTGACGAGACTGAGGTGTGGCGGCTTCGTGTTCAGCACCCAGATTTGCCACAACCTCGTCGACGCGGCGGGGATCACGCAGTTCTTGCAGGCCGTCGGTGAGCTCGCGGAAGGCGCGGAGCGTCCGGCCGGTGTGAGCGAGGGAGCCCCTCGACGCGCGCCACCCGCGGCGTCCGGTGTACGACCACCCCGAGTACGAGCTGGCGTCCGACGAGGCCAGCGACAAGCTCCGTCCAGGCGACGAGCTCGTGCACCGCAGGTTCCTCTTCGGCCCTGACGACGTCGCCGCGTTGCGCGACCAGCTCCCCACACGCCTCGGCCCCGGTGCTCACGTTTCCTTCTCCTCGAGTCCCCGGGCCCAGACCGCCGCTTTCCGCCGCCTACAGCCGCCGACACCGCCCTTCCGCCTGCTCCGGCCGCGCGCCGCCGCCCGCTGCCGCTCGCCTGCCGCTGCAGCCGCGCTCTCCCACTGACCGCCGCCCCTCTACCTGCTCCAGCCGCACTCACCCGCTACTTGCCGCGGCGGCGTCGGTAACCGCTGGCTCCGGGTCTGGGAACCTGCCATCGCCACCGCGGCTGTGCTCATCGCCTCCACGGAGGAGAACCCCGTCACGCCGCTCCACCTGTGTCTGCCGCGCTTGCTGAAGAGAGAATCAGAGAAGAGAGTACAGAAGGAGAAGAAAAGAAAAGGGAAAAAAAGTGCAGCTGACATGTGGGCCCCACGTAATTTTTTATATTTTTTTCTGACTAGGATGTCACGTCAGCAAAACCAGGCAAAAATACTGCCAAGGGACCTTCGGTGAATGGTTTGAGAGAGTTTAGGAGTACACATTTCTGGTTTTCTAGTTAAGGGACCTTAGAAAATCTCGCTGTTGACCTCCGGTGACCTTATTCTGCCACTTTTGGATGCCCGTATGTGGGCCTCACAACCTCAGCTCAAAGGCCCAAGAGCCATTTAGTTTACCTCCGATTGGGCTGAATCTGTAAGCCTAACCAAACAAAATCAATCGTACTAAAACTTCCGAGGTTCTGTTTACGGAGAAACACAGCTGACTGGTAATCAGTTTCTGGAAATTTAGAAAATTTGGGTTTTAAATTTTTAGCTTTAGTTTATTTTCTGTATTCTATAACTACATATTTTTAGACTCTGAAGAAAATATAGACTGTTTGAAAAATGAGAGATTTTAGCAGATACAGCAGCTAAAAGTTTAGCTCCCTGAAGCTTCATCGGCCACTGCAATCTTGAGAACTGAAAGCATCGGCGATTGCATCCGCGTGGAGGTTTTGACTTGTGCTTTCCCTTCCCGAGTCAACAATTTTATAAGATCAGTCACTAGCATCAAGGAGCTGGGATTAAGGGGAGTTAAACACAAGCAAAGGTGATCTACGCTGTCCTGTTCCTGATTAAAACCACGGTGATGATCTGTTTCATGCTTCCTTCACGTGTACTCGCACGCCTCCCCAAGCTCTCGCTCCATCGATCGGCCATCACGAGGCACTGGCTTTCAATTGATCATGTCTTGATCACTCGCGATCAGTACAAGTACGAGTTCTTGCAAATTATACAAGGACGTACGCGTCGGATTCCTTGGGTTTCCCACAGCAAAAACAACTAGTTTCGGACTTTGTAGAACACCTGCAAGGGCTAGTGTGATGAAGCATATATATGAAGTTGTAAAAAAGTTCAGCACGAGTTATGTACTGCAGCAGTGCAGCTGATGGTGTTTCAGTACATTATTGGAGATTCAGATATCAGCATGGTGTACTGGAGTACTACAAGGACCAAATGAGTCGTGTATTCCCAAATCCCAACTCATGACTGTCAGTGTAGATAATTTCATACTTCCTACCTACTAACAAGATAATCTAGATATTATTCAATACATGTATAATACTACTAGAGTTCAATTAAATTATGCCTGATGCTTAGCTAGCTAACTAGCTAGATATATCTAATAGGACTAAACTAAATAAACTACAGTTGCGCCTAATCTAGCTATAGCTACCTATTGCATATTAACGCTGAAGATCTGAACTAGTACTATAAAGTTTAGAAAATATGGGGGTGATGGATCGACCATATTCTTACAGTCCTCTAGGAGTCTAGTAGCAGGTAAGACTTTTCATAGTTAGTTAACTATGCATAACAAATTAAATTGCAACTGCATGTCTTTAAATATTAGCTAACTTGGATTGGGGCTAATCAGATTCAAAGTTTGGATCCAGCTCCTCAAGTATTATCTCCGAATGAAGGCAGATATATTTATTTGTATTTTTAACTCCCTCGATCAGTGTCATGATCAGAGGGCGCGGGAGCATCTTAGTGTGAGCTCACTAATTAATCTTGTTTTGGTGAAGTGATTAATTAACAAATCTATGGACGATGATATAAGCATATTTGGACGGACCTGTAACTAACCCTAAGATAATCCCGTGATTAGCTGCTATGGCGTCTTGTTGGAAGGATAAGCATGCAGGTCAGGTGGCAGTGTGAAAATAGTTTCAGTTTGCATTCATATCCTTCTGCGCCAATAGCTGCCGGAAATAGCAATGGTTGTCTCTGTATTTTTTTGTACGCTAGCACAAAGAAACATTACTATTCTACTAATTAAAAAATTAAGATGCTTGCATGTGAAGGCTTGATCAGCTTAAAGCAACTATCAGCTACACGTATGCTGAAATTTCAAGATCAGATTAAGGTCTCAATTAACTCTGATCACGTGATGCAAGCACTGGAGCAAATCCAGTTCTCTGGCCTAGCTTGTACATATATGGCATTACTTTGATGACTCTGACGACATTCCTGAAGTCATTAGTGTGTCATCCAAAAGGCCAAAACTTTTGAAGTAGCAACTGGTCTTGGTTATTGATCCCAAATTTAACCTTTGCAACATGGTCAAAACGTAAATCTCACTGGTTAATATCGTATAGTTAAGTGCACTGTTCTAGCTTAGGCCAGCAGTTTCAGGCAGGGAAAGGGATCGATCGAGTGCGTGCACATGCAAAGGAACAGATCAGCAGTGTCTGTACACATAATTAAGTTCTCTAATTAAATTGACAGTTGTTTTAGAATAATAGCATAAGAACAACAAGTGACACTTTTTCGAGATTATAATATGATATACATTCATATGCATGCATGGTAGCTTGATGTCACATGCATTGTAGTCGATGCTTCTTATTCCATCTTGCCCTAGCTAGCTAGCTTGTCCTTAATCTGCATATGCAAGCCTGACCATGGATCAGAGAATCCCACTGATGCGATGGGAGAGAGATATTGCTTCCGTGCAACAAGCTCATTAGCTAGCTATCTTTAGGCAGGCAGCGAGATAGTGTATTTAATATTTATTATGTGAGGTGCTAGATTTTTAAACACATGGACGAACGTGGGAGTTGGACAAGACAAATCTCGAATCAATTATTGTAACGAACTTGAAAAGAGGCTCCATGGCCAAGTGGTAATGGTTCTTCCAATTTCATTAAGTGTACTAGCTAATTAATTAATGGCTGTAAACAAGACGGCTAAGCGTTGTCTTAATCTAGGCCTTGGGTTTAATTCGTTGTCATGTGGCATCCTTAATGACGCCTTTTGTCTTCTCTGTCTAGTCATCTAGTCTCGCTAGCTCTCTAGCTGTATCACCGCAAGCACTCCACATAGACGACGTTCTTACACACTTAATCTCACTAGCTCTGTCTAATTAGTTTTGCCATACATGCAAACCCTTTGGTATCCAAATTAATAGAAGCATGCCAGGAAACTAAACATAGACATTCTTACACATTGTAGATGAAATTAAGTTCGTGTTGACGTAATATAAGTAATGATTAATAAAAAAAACATGTACGTGCAACAGAGGCAGGGAAAGAGCTGAAGAGGGTGGAAAAGGTATATGCATGCTACTACATGAAGGGGAAAAAAAGCACTACCATGTGAGTAGCTTGGACTGAAGTACATATACTACATGGAGTCAAGAAATCTGAGCTAATCTGGTTAGTACAATTATGATATACCCTCTCCGTTAAAAAAATCAACCTTAAAAATGTGATGTCTAAATTTATTTTACTAAAAAAATATTTCT